CATCACCACCATCACCATCATCATCATCATCGTCAACATCATCAACATCATCATCATCATCATCATCATCATCATCATCATCATCATCATCATCATCATCATCATCATCATCATCATCATCATCATCATCATCGGGACACCGACGGGACACCGGCGGGACACCGGCGGGACACCGCGCGCCACCGGCCCCCGAGCGGGACACCGGCGGGACACCGCGGGGCACCGGTTGCCAGAAGGGAGACTTTTGGTCTGGCCGCGCCTCAGCTACAGGAGACTTATTTCACGCCCGCCCACGTAGCTTCGCCTCGCCCGCACGCACGGCACGCACGAACACGAAACCGAAACCGATTTCCCGGTAGGGGGGCTCTCCGTTCCACTTCGATCTCACCCCCTCACCTCCGATACGACCGCCCTGCGGGCGATAAGGAGGTTGGGGGGGGATTGAGATCAAATGCCCACCCTGACTGACCTCCCGCCTGTCACCTTGATCTCATCTCTCTCTCTTTCTCTTTGTCTCTCCGGACAAGATGGGTTGGATAAGATAAGATGGGACAATATGGTCTGGGTAAGACAAGATGAATTGGATTGGACAAGATGGATTTGATCAGATAAGCTGGATTGGAGAAGAAAGCCTGCCGCAGGCGTTGGATGGGATAATATGGTTTTGGTAAAATAAGACGAACTAGATTGGAAGAAATAAATTCGATAAAATAAGACGGATTGGATTGATTGGGTTGGCCCGCCGCAGGCGCATTAACAAATGAATTGATGGATTGGGTTGGATGGAGTGGATCGGGTGGGATAATATAAGATGGGACAAGATGGGTTGGACAAGGTAATACGGATTGGATTGGACAAGATGGATTGGATAATATATGCTCGATTGGATATGAAAGCCCGCCGCAGGCTCCGACAAAAATGAATTGATAGATTGGGTTGGGTGGATTGGATTGGATGGGATAATATTGATTGGATAAGATATGATATGTTGGATTGGAAGAAATGGACTGGATAAGACAAGATGGATTAGATTGGCCCGCCGCAAGCGCAGAAACAAATGAATTGATGGATTTGTTTGGGTGGATTGGATTGGGTGGGGTAAGATAAGATGGGACAAGATGGTCTGGATAAGATTATATGTATTGGATTGCACAAGATGGATTGGATAAGATAGGCTGGATTGGATCAGAAAGCCCGCCGAACGCGCCGACACAATGAATTATGAAATTAGCGACATGCGTTAGCGCCAGGATGCCCAGGACACCCGGTACACCCGGGACACCGCTGGTCCTACTGGGACACCTCCCAGCCACCGGCGGACGGGAAACGGATTTTCGTTCCTACTGACACCCAGGACACCCGGGACACCGCCAGGCCCAACTGGGACACACCCCAGCCACCGGCGGACGGGAACGGACTTTCGCTCCTACTTTGGCCTAGTTACAAGAGGATCGCGCGCAGCTTCGCCTCGCCCGCACGCACGACACGAACACGAAACCGAAACCGATTTCCCGGCGGGGGGTCTCCGTTTCACTGCGATCCCCCCTAACATCCGACGACCGCCCTGCGGGCGATAGAGGAGTGGGGGGTGATCGAGATCAACTGCCCACCATGACTGACCTCCCGCCTGTCGCCTTGATATCATATATATATATATATATATATATATATATATATATATATCATTTTCTCTGTTTCTCTCTCTCTCTCTCTCTTTGTGTGTGTGTGTCTCTCTCTCTCTCTCTCTCTCTCCCGCCCTTTCTCTGTCTCGCCCTCCCTCTCTCTCCCTCCCTCAGAGTTTTCTTCCACGGCAATGACGATCGCGATGACGATGACATTGGAAAACGAACCCCGCCGCAGGCGCCGACAAAAATTGATTGATGGATTGGTTCGGGTGGATTGGATTAAATGGAATAATATGGATTGGATAACATGAGATGGGTTTGATTGGAAGACGTGTATTGGGGAAGATAACATGGATTCGATTGGCCCGCCGCAGGCGCAGAAACAAATGCATTGATGGATTGGGTTGGGTTGATTGGATTGGGTGGGATAAAATAACATGGGACAAGATGGTCTGGATATGATAATATGTATTGGATTGTACAAAATGGATTGGATATGATAAACTGGATCGGATAAAAAATAAATTATGAAGCTAACGACATGCGTTAGCGCCGGGACGCCCGGGATACCGCCTGGCCCAACTGGGACACCTCCCAACCACCGGCGGACGGGAAACGGATTTTCGCTCCTACTGGCACCCGGGACACCCGGGACACCGCCAGGCCCAACTGGGACACCCCCCAGCCACCGGCGGACGGGAACGGATTTTCGCTCCTACTTCGACCTAGCTACAGGAGGATCACGCGCAGCCTCGCCTCGCCCGCACGCACGCCACGAACACGAAACCGAAACCGACTTCCCGGTGGGAAGTCTCCGTTTCTCTGCGATCTCACCCCCAAACTTCCGATATACACTCTATATGTACGAATGCCCTGCGGGCAATAAGGAGGTTTGGGGGGATTGAGATCAACGAGCCCGAACGCTCGAACCCTGCAGTCTGCGGCGATCGCGCCCAGGCGCCGACAAAAATGAATTGATGGATTGGGTTGGGTTGACTGAATTGGATCGGGTAATATGGAATGGATAAGATAATACGGGGTGGATTGGAAGAAATGGATTGGATAAGATAAGATGGGTTGGGTTGGCCCGCCGCAAGCGCAGAAACAAATGAATTGATGGATTGGGTTGGATGGATTGGATTGGGTGGGATAGGATAAAATTGGACAAGATGGGTTTGATAAGAGGTTTGATTGGACAAAATGGATTTGATAATAGATGCTGGGTGAGAAAAAAAGAGACAGAGAGAGAGAAAACAAAAAAAACACGCCGCAGGCGCCGACTGAAAAGAATTGATGGATTGGGTTGGGTGGATTGGATTGGATGGGATAAGATGGATTTGATCAGATAAGATGGGTTGGATTGGGAGAAATGGATTGGATAAGACAAGATGGATTAGATTGGCCCGCCGCAAGCGCAGAAACAAATGAATTGATGGATTGGGTTGGGTGGATTGGGTGGGGTAAGATGATAAGATGGGACAGTATGGGTTGGATAAGGTAAGATGGATTGGATAGGACAAGATGGATTGGATAAGATAAGCTGGATTGGACAAGAAAACCCGCCGCAGGCGCCGAAAAAAATGAATTATGAAATTAGCGACATGCGTTAGCGCCGGGAGGCCCGGGACACACAGGTCGAGATCGACGACGCCTCGGGAGACGCCGACGCGCCACGGTGCACACAAGTCGCCCGCGGATGCCGGCCACCGCGGCCCGCCTTGGCCTGCGCGTCGTACCTGCTCAGCAGCCGCTGCGCCGTCTCCAGCTCCTCGACGTCCGCGGGGCCTGCACCCTCTATACCACGCGCCGCGGAGAGCCAGGCAGGGGGGGGGAGGCGCCGCCGAGGCTCGGGGCGGGGACGCGAGAGAGAAGGCGAGGGGATCTGGCTCCACTTGCCTCCGAACGTGCGGATGTGTGTGGAAGCCACCCCTGCACTGCCCCTCCACTGCCCTGTCGCTCCCTTGACGCCTGTGTCATCCCACCGTCTGCCCTGGTCGGGCTGCCTGCCTGCCGCTCCTCCACCCGGCATGCCGTTGCACTTCCGCGCTGCGCCCGTCTTGTCCCCCCAGACACAGACACACACACACACACACACGCACGCACGCACGCACGCACGAACGCACGCACGCACGAACGCACACACACACACACACACGCACGCACGCACGCACGCACGCACGCAAGCACGCACGCACACACACACACACAGAGAAACACACACACACACACACACACACACGCACGCACGCACACACACACACACACACACACACACACACACACACACGCACACACACACACAGACACACACACACACACAGCACGCACTGCACAACACCCCCAGGTGCCGGCACTCTCCCCCCCTCCCCCTCTCCCCCGTTCCCGTCGCGGCCCAGCGCGAGTGACCCAGTCGATCTCCTATGGGCGGATCCCTGGTTCCCCCCGCCGCGCGATCCGGCCCAGCCGCGCGCTTCTTCCCGCTCAGCTGCCGAAGCCGCGCCGACGCGCGCGTGGCCTGAAGGCAAAAAAGTGTGCGTGAAGCCGCCAGTCGTTGAGCGCTGCTGAGGGACATCGTTAGGGGGGCCGGCTCAGGGGGGGAGACATCAACCTGGAATCGGCGCTACATCGTCGACGGATCGCCTACGGAGGACCCCGATACTGAACCCGCATGCTCCTGGGCGGGCTGGGCTATCGGGCCCCCCATCGGCGATCGATGACACCCCCCCGAGCCTACCCCGCCTAACGTTGCCCCTGGACTGCCCCCCGGCAAGAGAGCCCACGCGCGAAGCGGTGTGACCGAGCCGCCTGCCCTGCCAACTGCCAGCTGCTGGCGGCACAGGTGACGCCACACGCCACGGAGCTCCGCATGCGACGCGGGCCGGCACGCGGGCTGCTGCTGGAATCCCATTGGGATCTTGTCCCACCAGCCCTTTGTGTGCAGGTGGTCTAGAGCGTTTCCTTTTCTAACCTCCTTCGTCTCCCTGCTCGGGAGGCTTGCCTCCACCCCCCTCCCTGGGTCTGGACGGGCTCCCCCGCGAGGGGTTGGAGCGTCCGAGATGGCCCTAGATAGCTTCAAGCGGGCTTTAGCTAGCCCAAGATGGCCTCCAAGATCGCCCAAGATACCTCAAGACGGCTCAAGATAGCCTCCAACACGCATCCAAGAGGCCTCAAGACGGCCCCAAGACGGTTTCAAGTGCCCTCCGAGCCCTCCAAGGATTCCCCCAGGAGGCCAAAATGGGTTCAAAACCTATGGAAAATCCATGTTTTTTACCTTTTCGCTTTTTCGCTTCCGATGGGCTCTTGAGGTGTCAAGATGGCCCCAAGATGGCCCAACATAGCCCCCAGAGAGGCCCGAGAGGGCCCCAAGACGGCCCCAAGAGCGCCCAAGAGCGCCCCAAGAGCGGCCCAAGAGGGCCCCAAGGCGCCGCTTTTGGGCATCCGAGGGGTGGGCCTAAATTGATTACCCCCCTCCTTGTAAGCGAAGGGGTCCAAGACGGCCCCGAGGGGCCTCCCAGGCCCCCAAAAAAGCCCCAAGAGGGCCCCAAGACTCCCCAAAAAAGCCCCAAGAGAGCCTCAAGAGTGCCCCAAGAGACCCCCAAGAGAGCCCAAGAGGGTCCAAGAATAGAAAATTCGATTCTACGACTGGGCCCGCAGCGCCAGAGACGCTAACCACAGGGAACACCCTGGCGTATCTTGCACCGGTTTCCATCTTAGACTTCGCTGCGCGAAGCTACGTGTGATCCTTGTTTCCTTATGGCCCAGGGTGGATACAGCCACCTGCGCTAGAGACGTTTACCACGGGGGACACCATGCCGTATCTTGCACTGATGTCCACCTTAAACTTCAATGCGGGAAGCATGTGTGATCCTTGTTTTTTCTGAAGACGGCAGCGCAACTGCATGCTTCCAGCCGTCCCTGACTTACCAACTCCCCTGCTGATCGTTTCTGGATGGGCTGATAGGGGGTACGCGAAGAGTCAAGAATTGCTCTCGCAGTGTATAGAGGAAGGAAAGGAGAGAGGAGTCTGGAGAAGATGAAGGGGGCGGCACGCCCGAGCGTCGCCCAATGCCGGACGACGCTCGGGCGTACCACCGCTCAGGGGTCGACCCCCCCAGTTGCTCCTCCGATGATCTGCTGGGCAACTACAGGGAGAGGGGGGGGGGGCCAACTGAGGCATGGTGCACTATGTGCGGTGCGATCGATTATGTGAAATTGAAGTCCTGCGATAGATGGTATGCAATGTATGCTGTGCAATCTCTGCGGCGCAGTGTATGTGGTGCAGTCTACCTGGTGCAATCAATCACTTGCTCCACTTGAGGCTGTCCTCTCCACTGCTCGTGCGAACATCCCGCCCTCCCACCCGCATGAGGGGGAAGACATCGACCTGACCTGAGGAGGAGGAGGAGGAGGAGGAGGAGGAGGAGGCACCGGGCACCGCGGCCGTCCCAGGGCGCTCCCGAACGCTCTGAGCGCGCTCCGCAACGCTCTGCAATCACTGTCCGTGTCCTGAAGGCCTGCCGGAGAGGAGGAGGAGGAGGAGGAGGGAGGAGGGAGGAGGAGGAGGAGGAGGAGGAGGAGGAGGAGGAGGAGGATGAGGAGGAGGAGGAGGAGGAGGAGGAGAGGAGGGAGGGAGGGAGGAGGGAGGGAGGGAGGGAAGGGAGGAGGAGGAGGAGGAGGAGGAGAGGAGGCGGAGGCCCCCCCAGCAGCGAGACCGCAGGCTCCTGGGCGGGGGAGCTACCGGCCCCTGCCGGCCCCCACACTCAGCAGATCCCCTCCTCTCCTCCTCCTCCTCCCTCCTCCTCCTCCTCCTCCTCCTCCTCCCTCTCCTCCTCCTCCTCCTCCTCCTCCTCCTCCTCCTCCTCCTCCTCCTCCTCCTCCTCCTCCTCCTCCTCCTCCGGTCCGTCGAAAGTGCGAGCTGCCGAAGACTTCTGGCAACCACCCGAGGCGAAAGTGGGCCGGAGGCCCGACCGCAGAGCGCACTTCGGGCAACACCCGACGCAGAGGCAGCGGCTCGCGCGCGTGCGCCCGGAGGAAAGAGAGGAGGAGGAGGAGGAGGAGGAGGAGGAGGAGGAGGAGGAGGCGGAGGAGGAAGAGGAGGCGGAGGAGGAAGAGGAGGCGGAGGAGGAGGAGGAAGAAGAGGGGCGGCTCGCCCGCGGCCACCTGCGCGCTGCCACCCCGCCGGGCCTCCGTCGTTCAGCTCTCCCACGACCTGCCGCGGCGGCTGGGGGAGAGAGGAAGGCAGACGGCACCGCCGCGGCGGGAATGCTGGGAGCAGCTCGGGGTGCAGCTGCGGCAGGCCTCCCCGCATCCGTCGGATCCTCCACCTCCTCCTCGGCCTTCTCCTCCACCTCCTCCTCCTCCTCCGCCTCCTCCTCTTCTGCCGCCTCCCCCGGCAAGTGTGCCCGCGGTAGTGGGCATCTCCCCCAGCTTTTGCGTACATCCTGCACTTTGTTCTGCATAAGCCTGGGCACGCACGTGCCACGTGTGTATGCACGTATACAAATGTGAATATGAGCTCGCATGCATGAACACGCCAAAGAATATGTGTGCCCCAATCAGAGCTTGCCTTATCAAGCAAGCGGAAGCAAGCAAGCGCAAGCGAGCAATAACAAGCAAGCAAGAGCCAGCGATCAAGTGCAAGCAAGCAAGAGCAAGCAAGAGCAAGCAAGCAAGTGCCGTTGGAAAAAGGGCGGCCATTGGAAAAGGGGGGACATTGGAAAAAGGGGGGTGCTAGAGCCAATTACTTCTGATGAGCTAGGACTCCTGTAAGGCAAGCCTGTTTGGATAATATACATATACACACATGCACACATACATACATACCCATGTACTTAAACATGTACACCTACATGTACACATGCATAAACATCTGCATCGGCGTATACATATGCGTATGCATATGCATATGCATATACAAAACAAACAAACATACATGCATACATACATACATTCATACATACATCCATCCATCCATCCATCCATCCATCCATCCATCCATCCATCCATACATGCATGCATGCGTGCATGCATGCATGCATGCATGCATACATACATACATACATACATACATACATACATACATACATGCATACGTACGTACGTACGTACGTACGTTCATATATATATATATATATACATACATACATACATACATACATACATACATACATACATACATACATACATACATACATACATACATACACATACATACATACATACATACATACATACATACATACATACATACATACATACATACATACATACATACATACATACATACATACATACATACATACATACATACATACATACATACATACATACATACATACATACATACATACATACATACATACATACATACATACATACATACATACATACATACATACATACATACATACATACATACATACATACATACATACATATATGGATGCATAAAAAACTATACGTATACGCTAATGTTTACATGCACCAGCCAGCGTTGACTCCAAATAGATAACGACAGGAGGAGGACGAGAGGAGGATGGGAGGAGGACGAAAGGAGGACGGGAGCAGGACGGGAGGAGAACGGGAGGAGCAAAATCAAGCAAGCGCAAGCGAGCAATAACATGCACGCAAGAGCCAGCGATCAAGTGCAAGCAAGCAAGGGCAAGCAAGAGCAAGCAAGCAAGCGCCATTGGAAAAAGGGGGGGCATTCGAAAAAGGGGGGTCCTAAAGACCAATCATTTATGATAAGCTAGGACTCCTATAGGACAAGCCTATCTGGAGAACCGTTGCATGTACCTATGCATGTACCTATACAAAAAAAAACATATACAAGCACATAAGCATACACATACATATACACATACAAGATCGCTCCAAGACGCCCAAGATGGCCCCCAGACGGCCCAATAGCCCTCCAAGAGGACTCCACCGAGGGCCCCATAAGGCAACAATCATAGCTTCCCTTCGGTGTCTGAAAGATTTTGGCACTCTCGCCTTTGCGACTTCCCGACGCTCAAAGACGGCCTGAGAGGCCTCCAAGATCGCCCCAAAACGGCCCAAGAGGCCTCCTGGAGGGCCCCAAGACGGCCCAAGAGAGCCCAAGATGGCTCAAGAGACCTCCAGAAACGGCCCAAGAGGCCGGACAGACGGGGGTCCCGAACGGACATTTCGAGCCCTCGGCGCCAAGAAGCCCCCAGGAGGCCCCAAGAGGCCCACAAGAGGCCCCAACAGGCCGCCAAAAGGGCCCCAGGAAGCCCCAAGAGACCCTAAAGAGGCTCCACGAGGGCCCCAAAGATGCTCCCAAGAGTCCCCAGACCTGCCCTCCAAAGCCCCCGAGAGCGCTCCGAAGAGACCCCAAAAAGTATTCCTGAGGGCTCTGACCCACAGCCTAGCCATGTCGGAGAGCAGTAGAGCCCAGAACCCCCACGACAAGCACCAAAGCAACTACTCCACTTCTATGCCTGCTGTCGCCACGCCTCCAAGAAAAAAGACCACCGCCAAAAAGCGCCGCATGCCGCATGGGCCACGAACGCGCTGGCAAGCGCCAGCGATGGCACAATACGGGCTAGCGGAATGAGCGAAGCGATCAACTGAAGGGGAACGATAGGAGGGGACTGGCGCAGAGGGGAAGCATCGACCTTGAATCGACGATACCTCGCCGATAGATCGCCAGTAGGACCCCGATGGCGAATCCGCACGTTCCTGGGTGGGGTGGGGCTATGGGGCCCATATTGACGATCAATGGGCGATTGGAGGTCGATGCTTCCCCGCCTGAGTCCATCCCGCACCAATCGTTGCCCCATGGCCATCGGCTATCCAGAGGCCGTTCGGGGCGATCCGAGCACCCCCGGAACACCTTCCGCGAGGCGCAGCGGCAAGGCGTCCCGAGACGGTAAGGCCGCCGAGCGCAGCCGAAGACGTCTGAAGATCTCGAGACCTCGAGACCTCGAAATCCCCTGAGCCGATCCCCCCCCTAACTCGGAAGCGGCCAAGAGGGGGGTGTCCAAGAGGGGGGGGGTGCAAATCATGACCGGCAGCATGTGCGTGGCCCAGCGGGGGGGCCTGGGACGTAATGAAATAAGAAGAGGCGCCATGAAATCTTCGGAGATATCATGGCCCGCGCCATGATATCCACCCCCCCCTAGTCATCACCCCCCTCTTTTCCGCCCCCGACTAACGCTGCCCCTGGCAGGAGGAGCAGGAGCCAGGACCAGGGCCTGGGATCAGCAGCAACGGCAGCAGCAGGAGCCGAAGCAGCAGCCCGGCCTGCCGCAGGCGCGGGATGTCCCTCGCCTCCAGCGCCTGGTGCAGCAGCAGCGGGTGCGTCTCCTGCGCCGCGGGCGCGCTCGGCCAGCGGCGGATGACCGACAGGATAGGCCAGAGGAGGGTGGAGATGCCGAGCCAGCCAGACATCGCCATGATCGCCAACATCGTCATCACCGTCACCATCGTCACCACCTCTACCGCCACCACCACCACCATCATCATCACCACCATCAACAACAACATCGTCACCACCACCACCACCACCATCACCATCGCCATCACCATCACCATCACTATCACAATCACGATCATCATCCTCATCCTCGTCCTCACCACCACCTCCCCCACCACCACCACCACCATTACCACCACCATCATTGTCATCATCATCATCAGCAGCAGCAGCAGCGTCCTCATCATCATCATCATCATCATCATCATCATCATCATCATCATCATCATCATCATCATCATCATCATCATCATCATCATCATCCTCATCCTCATCCTCATCCTCATCCTCATCCTCCTCATCCTCATCCTCAACCTCCTCCTCCTCGTCATCATCATCATCATCATCGTCATCATCATCATCATCATCATCATCATCATCATCACCATCATCACCAGCATCGTAATCATCGTCATCAGCATCATCAGCATCGTCATCGTCAACGTCATCCTCATCGTCATCGTCATCGTCATGGTTATCGTCGTCAGCATCATCATCATCATCATCATCATCATCATCATCATCATCATCATCATCATCATCATCATCATCATCATCATCGGATCACCCCCATCACTCTCATCAAAATCATTATCATTATAATGGTAGTCGCCGTCGTCACAGCATCAACAGGTTCAGCACCATCACAGCTCTCTCTTAGATCATTAGCATCGTCAGAATCATGATCGGCATCATCATCATCATCACCATCATCATCGTCATCGTCGTCATCAGCATCATCGTCATTACCATGACCATCATTATCATCAGCATCATCATCAACAGCATCACGATCATCATCAGCAGCATCATCAGTGTCGTCGCCAACATATTCATCGTCGTCGTCAACACCATTGTCATCATCCGAAAAATCATCGACATCAACAGCATCAGCATCATCACCATCATCATCATCATCGTCCTCGTCTTCTTAGTAATCGACATCATCAGCAGCAGAAGTAGCAGCACCATCATTGGACTCATCATCATCAGGAGCATCACCGACATCATCAGCATGATCATCATCATCATCAGCATCATCATCAGTGTCGTCGCCAACATCGTCATCGTCGTCAGCATCATCAGCACAATCCGAATGATCATCGACATCAACAGCATCATCATCATCATCACCATCATCCTCATCGTCCCCGTCGTCTTAGTAATCATCATCATCAGCAGCAGTAGCAGAACCATCATTGCCATCATCATCAGCATCATCAGCAGCACCATCATCATCAGCAGCATCATCAACATCAGCATCATCATCATCAGCATCATGAACATCATCAGTATGATCATGATCAATCATCGTCATCATCATCATCATCATCATCGTCGACATCGTCATCATCATCGTCATCATCATCATCAGCATCAGCATCAGCATCATCATCATCATCATCATCATCATCATCATCATCGTCGACATCGTCATCATCATGTTCATCATCATGTTCATCATCATTTTCAGCATCAAAATCATCATCATCATCATCAGCATCATCATCATCATCATCATCATCATCATCATCATCATCATCATCATCATCATCATCACCGCCATCATCATCATCATCATCATCACCGCCATCATCCGTAGCCATGTTGGCTCGAACCACCATGCCAACTTCCCTCGAGCGGCGGGCGCAGCTTGGGATGGCGCCGGCGGTGGCCCCTCCCGGGGTGGCCACTGATGGGGCTGGCGACGGCTCCAGCGCGGAGCGGAAGCGCCGACGCCAGGACAGTCGGCGATGGGCGCGGTGGTCGGCCGACGCCCTCCTCCAGGAGTTGCAGCGCGGGGTCAATTTCTGGCGCGGCCGCCGCGGGCGGCTGCTGGAGGCGCTGGGCAGCGGCAAGGTGGCCAAGCGCCTGGAGATCGTGGCAGTTCACCCCCACGCCATGCTGCAGGGCGCCAGGCTGGCACCAGTCGCCGTGCTGCGGCGGAACGTAGCGCTGCACGCCAGGGACGCCCCTCTGCCGCCGGCTGCGGCGGCGCGGCGGCGGCTGCGCAGGGCCCAGAAGGGGCCACGGCTGGCAGCGGTCGCGCACAGCGAGACGCCAACCACCACATTGCCAGCGGTGCCCCACTTCCCCGCGCTCGGCGCCGAGGCCAACGCAGGGGCTCGGAGCGCACTCGAGGGGCGACGATGCGGGCGGCGCCCCGCCCGCGCGGGAATTGGCCGAGCCCCCGCCCGACTCGGCCATCCCGCGCGCGGGCGCGGGCGTCGCCAGCGTGGAGCACGGTGACGAGCACGACGGAGAGCAGGACGTGGGGCAGTACGGCGAGGACCTGTTCAGCGTCGATGGCACTGGCCCGCCCGACCCTGCGAACGACACCGAGGAGTACAAGGAGAACGGGAGCGTGGATGGGTTGACCGCGGCGGCGGGGGCGGCGTGCAGCGGCGCCGCACCCGCAACGCCGCCTCCCCTTATCCACATGCATGGAGGACTGCTGGGAGCGCCTGGAGGCCTGCGAGAAGACCTCACGGCCATCGTGGAGGGCGACTTCGCTAACGGGCAGGGCATGATCTTGACGTGCATCGAGCGGCTAGAGAGCATGCTCAGGGAGGCCCAGACGATATGGGGCGACGTGGACAGCGGCTTCATCGCAGAGGAGGCCGAGCTGGAGCGCCACGAGATCCAGGAAGCGATCTCTTTCGCGTGGCGGCATTACGTCCTAGCGGAGGGCCGAGGCATGAGCAGCAGGCGCTGCGGATGAGTGGGCGCTGGGCCTGGCAACGCGCTGTGGGCTCGTCTGTGCAGCGCTTCCCTAGGCCGCCGCGTGGCGCGCGCCACGCCAACATGTTTGCATACCCTTTGCATGTCTGGCACTGTTCTCATCACGGCCCGAGGTGTGGGAGCAATTGTTTGTGTCCTCGCAGTGTGCAGCACCTTGAAGGGAGGCGCGGCTTTTAGGCAAACCAGTAATGCAGCAGGCGGTGAGCGTTCGCGATACGGCGACGGATCAATTTCGGAGAGCGCGATCATCACCGCCATCATCGTCGTCATGGTCATTGTCTCGTCGTCGTCGTCGTCAACAGCCTCATCATCACCAGCAGCAGCAGCAGAAACAGCATCATCCGCATCGCCTCCATCGCCGTCGTCAGAAAGAGCATCATCAACAACAACAACCGAACCATCATCATCATCATCATCATCATCATCATCATCATCATCATCATCATCATCATCATCATCAGAATCGTCAGCATCAGCAGCATAATCATCATCATCAGCATCATCATCATTCATCATCGTCGTCATCATAATCGGCATCAGCATCAGCATCAGCATCATCATCGTCATCGGAATCGTCATCGTCATCGTCACCATCATCGTCATCATCATCAGCATCCTCATCATCATCACCATCATCATCATCATCATCATCCGCATTATGGTCTCCCTCTTCTCATCCTCCTTTTCCTCCTCCTCCTCATCCTCCTCTTTGTCCTCCTCCTCCTGTTCCTCCTCCTCCTCCAAAACGTGTTCCTCCCTCTCCTCCGCCTCCTCCTCCTGTTCCTTGCCTTCGTGGTGGTAGCATTATGTTTCGTAGTACCAATCCCATGCTGAGTCTTACTAGTAGTAGTATCAATATGACCGGTAATAGTGACATTCGTCGTAGTCGTAGTAGTAGTAGTAGTCGTAGTAGTAGTAGTAGTAGTAGTAGTAGTAGTAGTAGTAGTAGTAGTAGTAGTAGTCGTAGTAGTCGTAGTAGTAGTAAGTAGTAGTAGTAGTAGTAGTAGTAGTAGTAGTAGTAGTAGTAGTAGTAGTAGTAGTAGTAGTAGTAGTAGTAGTAGTAGGTAGTAGTAGTAGTAGTAGTAGTAGTAGTAGTGGTGGTGGTGGTGGTGGTGGTGGTGGTGGTGGTGGTGGTGGTGGTGGTGGTGGTGGTGGTAGTAGTAGTAGTAGTAGTAGTAGTAGTAGTAGTGGTAGTAGTAGTAGTAGTAGTAGTAGTAGTAGTAGCAGTAGTAGTAGTAGTAGTAGTAGTAGTAGAAGTAGCAGTAGTAGTAGTAGTACTACTACTACTACTAGTACTAGTAGTAGTAGTAGCAGTAGTAGTAGCAGTAGTATTAGTAGTCGTAGAATAGTAATAGTAGTAGTAATAGTAGTAGTAGTAGTCGTAGTAGTAGTAGTAGTAGTAGTAGTAGTCGTAGTCGTAGTCGTAGTCGTAGTCGTAGTAGTAGCAGTAGGAGTAGTAGTAGTAGTAGTAGTAGCCCTAGTCTTATGGTTAGTATTCGTCGTAGGTTTCTTATCATTCGTAGCATCGTAGTACTATCATTGCTAGTGCTGTTGTTCCTAGTGCTATTACCACTAGTATTTTATCATCGCATTATGTGTACTCGCCACTCCTTATTATTAATATCACTGATGCTCGTAAGAGCAGTGTAATGACCATTATCCCGATTGTTAGTACTCTGCTTAATATGATTAGTAGTATTATTACTACGAATATTAAAAGTATGTCTAATCGTAAGCGTATGAGTGGTCTCATCCTTGTTTCTCGCATTGTCGTTAGCATTCGTCTTGTTATTGTTCGAAACATTGTTGTCTTGTTGTTCGTCCTCCTTTTCTTTCTCCTCCTACTCCTCCTTCTCCTCCTCCTCATCATCCTGATCCTCCTCCTCCTCCTCCTCCTCCTCCCCCTCCTCCTCCTCCTCCTCCTCTTCCTCCTCCTCCTCCTCCTACCACGCGGACGACACTAACGTCGGGATCACGACCGCCCCAGATTCAGACCACTCGCTGAACTGCCGCCGGGTGTGACCTCGAACGCCTTCCCACCGCGCGGACGCGGACGAGGTCGCCTTCACGACCAGTCCTTATCAGACCACTGGTCGGGATTCCGCCGTTCCTGCAGTCTCCTTCCCGCAGCACTGTTGCACAGGCACGGTGGTGGGGTCTGCCGCTGGCAGCTGTATAAGAAACAAGCGCGCGCGCGGCGACGAAGCGAAAGCCGAATGCTGAAAACGACAAGCTACAAGACCATACGTTGTGAGGGAGTCTCCAGCGAAAGGCGTGGTCCACCCTAAAAGCACGATGGTGGTGCGGCGGGGAAGATCTATGTATAAGGAACTAGGACTGAGGAGAAGGAGGCGGGCAAGAAGGAGGCTGAGGACAGCAACGAGGACGGGGGAGAGGAGGGGAAAGGCGAAGGGTACGGGGACAGCGCGGGGGACGAGTATTTTTTCCAGTGCGGACACAATGAGGCTCCGTATGCCATCTGTCCTTGATGGCGTGCCGCCCGATCGCGGGCACACGCCCACTTCGAGAGAGATGAGGCAGCAAGCAGCGAGAGCGCGCGAGGCTGGGGAGGAGATGGAGGCGGAAGAGGACGAGGAGGCGGAGAAGGCGGGGGTCGTCGCCGTCGTCGCCCTCGTCCTCGCCGTCCCCGTCGCCGTCGCCGTCGCCGTCGCCGTCCGCCGTCGTCCTCGCCGTCACCTCCGCGGGGCGGGCCGCGGGCGGGCGGCGCCCGCCTGCATCTCGCGCCACCTCCTCACGTCGGCCTCGGCGGCGCCCCGCGCGCGCCGCGGAGCGCCCGCGCGGTCGGAATGGGGCCCTCGGCGCCCTCGCGCCGCCCTCGCGCCGCCCTCGCGCCTCGGCTCCCGCGGCGTGCCCCCCGGAGGCCAGCGCCGCCGACACCGTGAGGGCGACGAGATCTGTACATGTCCACTGCTCAGTGGCCATGCTCATCATGAACCCAGCAGCAGCGTATACGCCGCGGCCTCCAGGCTTGGCCAGAAGGGCGTATACACAGCTCCCGGGTGCAGGATGGGCCTGGACAGGGAGCGGTCGATGTGTATAGATTTCGACGTCCGAACCGTCACCGGAGGGCTCCTCCAGGGGGGGGGCCCGAGCGGCCAGGGTCGGACCACTGCACCGAGCCGCCGGTGCATCACCGATGCGTCGGCGATGCGTCGGCGATGCGTCGGCGAGGCATCGGCGCCGTCGGCGTTGAGAAGGTCGGCCTCTGCATCGAGCAGCACTGCCGATGCATCGGCAATGCATCGGCGGCGCGGCGCGATCCTCCGACCCCATCTGCTCGGACCCCACGTGGGAGGCCTGGAGCCTCGGCTCTCGCTGCGGCCTCGGGAGGCCAGGGCCGCCGACGCCAGCCAGCGCGGCGTGACCCCGCCGTGCGGCCGGGCAGTCGGCCATGGCTCGGCGCGATCGAGATGGACACAGACAGACTAGGGACGAAGACCGACAGCAGTTCCCGTCCATTGTGGACAGGGTTCGCTGCCAGCGTCGCCGCGGACGCTGTCCACTCGAGACAGAAGAAGAGGAACACAACATTGTTCGTCGGCGGCGAGGCAGCGGATCTGCACCAGCGGTGAGCGATCGAGGCGAAAAGAAGAGCAGAGCACGGCAAAAACAGAGAACCCTGCGGAGGTCCGCGCGGATCTCGCGGATCTGCGCTGGGACCCCCTCCCTGGCCCGCAGGGGCCCGGGCGCCTCTCCAGGGGAAATTCGCACGACCCCCTTGGCGGCGCCGGGAGCGCCGCCAGGGTGGCCCAGCGCCGAGGCGAGAAATCCGCGCGGAGCTCCGAGAATGTATGCTTGTGCCGTTCTGTCGCCTTCGAGGGAGGCCGCCTGCCCAGCAGCGGCCGCTGTCGGCTTTGGCCAGCCAAGACGACGCCAGGACGAGGACAAATTCAGGTGAGGATAGTTCGAGACTCTCTGAGATCCAGCGGCTCTGGAGAATGTATCGGGCCTCGCCGCCTTCTCAGAACGCTCTGGAACGCTCTGGGAGCGTTCCGAACAACATTTGGGCGACGAAAAAAAATCGATCTCACGCGAGAAGACATAGCGACCTTACAACGCAGAATACGCGGGCCGCCAGCGCGGCACGCTACCCTGGGGACGAGGGCACTTACGCGCGACCTTACGCGGGCAGCTTACGCGCAAATGTTGGCGCAGACGAACCCGTCTCTTTCGTCGCTCATTCGGAGACCCTGACACTGCCGAGAGGTCCTCTGGTGCAGAAGTCTCCCGGAAGCCATGGGCTGATTGCATGACAATCTCGATCCCGCCCCTCCACAGTCATCGCCATCATCGTCACTATCACCACCATTATCATCCTCGTCATCATCATCATCATCATCATCATCATCATCAGCATCATCATCATCATCATCATCATCAGCAGCAGCAGCATCATCATCAACATCAGCAGCATCATCATCATGATCGCCACCAGAACCACCATCATCATTACCACCACCACCAGCACCACCACCACCGTCCTCATCACCACAACCACCACCACCATCACCAGCATCATCATCATCGTCATCATCATCGTCACCATCGTCACCATCATCATCATCATCATCATCACCACCACCATCATCATCGCCACCATCAGCCATCATCATCACCACCAGCATCATCACCAGCACATCACATCAGGATCGTCAGCATCATCAGCAGCATCATCATCATCGTCATCATCGTCACCATCATCATCACCACCACCACCATCGCCAAAATCTTCATCACCACCACCACCAGCACCACCACCACCATCATCACCATCACCACCACCTTCATCATCATCATCATCATCATCATCGTCATCATCATCAGCATCATCATCACCATCTCATCATCATCACACTCATCAGCATCATCAGCATCATCATCACACCATCGTCACTACCATCGCCATCATCGTCACCATCATCATCATCATCATCATCATCATCATCATCATCATCATCATCATTACCACCACCACCATCAGCATCATCACCATTAGCCATCAGCATCACCACCACCTCCGCCATCATCGTCACCATTTCGCATAACATCACATCACATCATCATCATCATCATCAGCAGCAGCATCATCATCGTCATCATCGTCATCATCGCAACCACCATCATCACCATCACCACCACCACCATCATCATCACCACCACCACCATCATGACCATCATCATTACCACCACCACAACTACCACCATCATCATCATCAGCATCATCATCATCATCATCATCATCATCATCATCATGATCATCATCGTCGTCGTCATCATCCTCATCGTCATCATCGTCCTCGCCGTCATCACCATCGTCATCATTGTCACCATTATCATCCACCACCATCAGCATCCTCATCATCAGCATCAGCCATCGTCACCACTACGACCACCATCATCACATCATCATCAAGATCATGATCATCATCAAAATCATCATCATCATCAGCAGCATCGCCGTCATGATCATCGTTATCATTGTCACCGTCATCATCATCGCCACCACCACCACAAACAACATCACCACCACCACCACCACCACCACCATCATCATCATCATCATCATCATCATCATCATCATCATCATCATCATCATTACCCATCATCCATCATCAGCAGCATCATCATCAGCAGCAGCATCATCATCGTCGTCACGTCGTCACCATCCTTGGAGCGACGACGAGGGAGGGCAGGGGAGGGCAGGCCGCCCTGGCCCGGCGGGCACGAGAGGAGAGCGGCGACCCGCCTCGGCCTCCACGAGCTCGGGCTCCTCTACAAGGGCGGGGTGGAGCGGCGGCATCGTGGTGGAGGAGGAGAAGGGGGGAGGAGGAGGAGGAGGAGGAGGAGGAGGAGGAGGAGGAGGAGGAGGAGGAGGCGAGGGAGGAGGAGGAGGCCAAGTGCAGACCCAAGACGCATCCACGATGTTGCAATAACCCTCCCTCCAAATTCCTTCCTCGTAGGTCCCTACAAGAATCGATGCTCTTGCGGGAAGTGCCCGTTTTGAAGACAACCGTCTGACAGCCCTAACTCTTGCGAAAACACCGCTATTGCGACTACAGCGCCGCGAATCACGGTGACTGTTGCGTCCTGACGTTCCAAAATCGCGCCAAACAACCGTTCCTGGACTTTCAACACCGCGAATCAACGTGACTGTTGCGTCCGTCCTGGAACATGCCACAACACCGTCCCTGGGACTTCAACCATTCGAAACACTGTCTGTTGCGAGCTTTCCGAACGAATATGCGCGGCGCAAAGCGACAGCCACACGTTGAAAAGAAATCGCCCTACATGGTTGAAACCGCTGCAAACTCTCAAGGCGAATGTGCGCGGCGCTGAGGCGAGAGCCACATTTCAAAAACCATCCGCCCTCCTTCCTTGAAACTGCTGCGAACTTTCAAGAACAAATATGCGCGACGCTCATGAGCGAGAGCAACATTAGGAAAAGGGCCAGCCCTCCATCCGCAAAATTGGAGCAACTGTTTAATAAGAATGTGTGCGGCGCTAACGCGAGAGCCACATTTTGAAAACGGCCCGCCCTCCATCTGCGAAACTGTTGCACACTCCAAGCTTCAGGATTAGAAATGGGGAGGGGGAAGCTCAGGCGAAACGCCCGGCCCGCCCTGCCAACACGGCTGGGAGCGCGACAGAGAAGCTCTTGACAAGGAAACGGGATGGAGCAGGAGGAGGAGGAGAGGGAGGACGCAACAGCCTCGAGCTAGTGTTTGACCAGCGTCGGCGGAGGAGGAGAGGGAGGAGACTGAGAGGCCCTCCTAAAACCCACCAGGCCAACATGTCCACTCAGTGTCCGGATCTGGTGGGCAAAGCTGCGCCGTCCCAGGGTTTCCGGCGCTCGAGCAGTGTGCCAGAGAGCTCATTACGTCGCGCGCCAACTCGAGAGCAGGTCCTTGAACCAATGAGCAAATGGCGCCCTCTTCCCGAACACCGTCTTCCCGTTTCACGGCTTCTCTTCCCCCCCTTCATCTCGCGCACCCGCCACCTTCCCACCCATCCTCCATCCAACTCCAACTCTTTACCCGTCCCTCTTCCCCCACCCCTCTCACATGCTCCCTGCCTCCCTCCGTCTCTCCTCCCTCCTCCCTTCTCTTCCCTTCTCCTCCTGCCTCCTCCTGATTCGGGCAACTTGTGCACAGACCTTTCTGCGCCTGGGCCTCTGCGCTTCCATCGCAGCGGTTGAGGCACTGGGCTCCAGTGCCCGCCAGTCCGCAGCCCCAGATCAGACAGAGACAATTGATACCCATTTCGCGCCGAGGCGCCCACTCGACTGTGGGAACGATGAAGCAATTGCCGCAGTTCCGAGTGGGATTGGACCACCGCGATCAAACAAATGACGTGCTCGGGCTGCCAGACCGTGGTAGGCCTCCTCGTCCCCCGACGTCATGCGGGACGCCGTCGTGTACTGCGCCGTGAGGTATGCGGGGATTCCAACTCCCAGCTACACATCAGGCCCGCGATTGTTCTGGCACGCTTCAATCCCACCACTAGACAGGGAGCCCGAGGCGATCTAGTACTTCGTGCTACCGCATGGCATTAGCATCACAGCCCAGAAGCACTGAAACCTATCAAACTACACGCGTTCTTAGAGAGCGACTGGCCAGCGGCTGCAGCTGAAAGCGCCCGTTGAACCTATGGCAGCTCTGCGAAGCCGATCGCCACAAGGTCAGCGTAGCGTCTGGCGCTCAAAACAGCTGCAGCCATACTATCGCGCACACTTGCGCCCACAGAAATATTCCTTGCTGCTCCAATGGAAAAAATGTACGCTTCTGCAGACCGCTTGCTTGCATGGGTAATCGCCTGCTTTCCCCGAACCGTTGTTGCACTCATGGTTCTGATGCTCCTTGGGAACTGGGTTCCCTTTACCGTGTCCGCCGCTCTGATGCCGCCGTCGCCGCCCCGTCGCCGCCTCGTCACCGCCCGCCGTCCGGGTTCAACTGCCGGGTCCGCCGCCTTGTCGTCGCCGGCGCCTCCTCGTCGCCGCCCGTCGGTTGGGCTACATGGCCGGGTCGGCCGCCCTGTCGTCGCCGGCGCCGCCCCGTCGCCGCCGCCTCGCCGCCCGCCGTCCGGGCTCCCTTGCCAGGTCCGCCGCCTTGTCGCCGGCGCCGCTCCCTCGCCGCCTCGTCGCCCGCCGGCAAAGAATCGCTTTTCTCAGAAAAGATTCGGAGCTACACCCTGCGAAATGCTTAAGAAATCATGGGTTAAGAAATTCATGGTCTCAGAACTTGAATAAAAACCCAACGTTTCCACTAAAATCTGAAGATTTACATGGAAACGTTAAGAATAATCGAGACTCTGGCCGAAAATCTAGGTTTTCTTAAGCATCGCCTAAGGTGTACCACCCCACCCCGCCCGGAACTATCCGAAAGCCCGTTGCGCGCGCGCTGTAGGAAAACGAAAAAGAGCACACGCGCGCGCGTCGTCGCACGCGCATGCCGAAGTCTCTCACAAACCTAGAGCTTCGCAAGGATAAGACTGCCACAGACCTCTAAACAAGTAAACACGGCATCGGGGGAGACACGCAGCTCCGTTTGCTATTTGAAATGCCCCCACTTGCCCCACTTGCCCCACTTGCCTTCCCCCACTTGGCCCCGGGCCAAGCGGCCCCCTCACTTCCAGGCAAGCGGGGCTTAGCGACCCCCCCAATTCCTCGAGCATGCGCGGGCGAGAGGGGCAAGCGGGGCAAGTGGGGCCAGTGGCACCAGACTGGATAGGGCGGTTATCCACTCGCAGGGGGCCTCTGGAAGCGCGCGGCAAAACCTGCACACAGGTGCTCGAAGGGGGGGGGCCAGCGCACCTATGGAAAGGAAGCCTCCGAAAAGCGCAGAAACAAACACTGAAGACGGCTGAAACCCCGCCCCGGCGCCCACTTGCATGGACGCCCCAAGCAAATTGAGCCCTCAACCAGCCAACCCCCCGGGCCGAACGCCCCCCAAAGGTTCGCGCCCATTTGCATGGGCGCCCCACGCACACGGCCGCCAAAATCGGGCCCCCCCCCAGACGAACTTCCCGAGGGTTCGCGACCATACGCATGGGCGTCCCATGCAATCAACCACGTCAACAGGCCAACCGGGGGGGGGGCCGCGGCCCTCGGGGTATCTCGCTGACTTGCACGGGCGCCCCGTGCTAACGGTCGCCGAAACTGGCCAAAACCCCTGAATACCCGGTCTATCTGGGAGGGGCCGGACTCACTTGGGGTCCCCGCGGGCTCAACAATCATTCTTGACATTTCGAAGACAGCCAGGACGACCCGAGGACGCCCCCAACGGGGTGTCCAAGAGAGGGCCAAGTCGTCAAATCCAACTAGCTTTCGCACGTTTCGCGCACAGCGGCTGGATCGGTCTCGAAGCCCGAGGGGGCCCCGAAAATGCCGCCTCGAGGCCCCCGAGGGCCCGAGAGGCCTTCGAAGAGACCGCGGGAAGGCCCCAAAAAGACGCCTCGTCCGCGACCCAATTCGGCCCCCAACGTTCCCCAAGAAGCAGTAAGAAAGGCCTATTCCTCCCCCCCCCATCCCCCTCCTTCCCCCCTCCTTCTCCTCCCCCATCGCCACCCCAATCCTCCTTCTCGCCCGCCATGGGCACGCCAAGTAAACTTCTGACGCGGTGAACCCCGACAGCAGCATCGATCGTCCGACGCGCCCGAAAACGGTTCCCGAAGGCCGAAACCGTAGAGGAAACGACCAGGATAATCGCGTCGTCGAGTATCTGCGCAGTCTTTTTCGCCATCCCCCTCGTCTTCCGTTTCTCAGGAGGGAAAAAACCCACACAGACACAATGAATCGTCGATCCAAAAAAAAAAAACATGGGAAAATGTGGGAATTGGGCGGAGGGGGGCAGAAACCCAGAACATCTGGGAAAATCAGGGGGGCCTTTTTTTTGTGTGTGTGTGTGTGTGTGTGTGTATCTATTCGTGTGTCCCAGGGCCCCTTCCGTTTCCACCCCCCCCAGGCTGGCCGACCTCGGCAGCGCGCCGCGGGGGCGCCCGGGGCCCCCCCTGAAAGAGCCGGGACCCTCTGCCGACGGGGGTGCTCTGCAGACTCCGCTGGGAGAGAGCACAGCGCGGAGGAGATTGCCACGAGGAGGAGGGCGAGGAGGGGGAGGAGGAGGAGGAGGAGGAGGAGGAGGAGGAGGAGGAGGAAGCAAATGGACATCGGGCGAGGAACGGGGAATGCGCGGCACCTCTGGCACAGGCCCGGCGGCGCCGGGCGGGGGCCGACGACGGTGCGCCCGCGGGCGCGCAATCGCTGGGCTCCCCGGGGGCACGACGTGCCCATGGGAGCGCTCCAGCCGCCTCCTCCCCCAGCCTTCTCCCCCACCTCCCCTCCTCCCCCACCTCCTCCCCCTCCTCCCCCTCCTCCCCCTCCTCCTCCTCCTCCCCTCCTCCCCCCTTCTCCCCCACCTCCTCGTTCCCCCCCTCCCCCCTCTCATCTACTTCTTCCTCCTTCCCCCATCACCCCCCCTCCCCCCCACCTCCCGCAGGCGTGGCGCCATCCGAGCTGCAGTCGCTCCAGGGCCCACAGAGACGCGCGGGGCGCGGACGACCGGCACCCCCCCCCCTCCGATCGGGGGCCAAGACCCTTCGCGGGACCGCCGTTCCGAAAAAAGAGCGCGCCTCGCACTGGCGAGGTCGACTGCGCGTCGAATAGGTAGGGGGCCACATGCGAACCCTACCCCTACCCCCAACGATTCTGGGAGAGAGGGTGGGGTTCACTTCGTTCGGTAGCTCCCAAGCGAAGTGAACCCCACCCTCCCCCTCCGA